AATAGTAGTAATAATACTGATACCAATAGTAGTAATAATACTGATACCAATAATAGTAATGATACTATTATCAATAATAGTAATGATACTATTACCAATAATAGTAATAATACTAATACCAATAATAGTAATAATATTAATACCAATAATAGTAATAATACTAATAATATTAATACCAATAATAGTAACAATACTAATACTAATAATACTAATAATAGTATTTTTTGGTATGGTAGTCATGAAAACATTTTCCCTCATGGAGAGATACTAGGCTGAATTTGCAAATATATTTTCACGTCGTTTATCAAAGGAAAAAGGATCGTTATCACTGTTAGAATCATTATTAATTAAATTAGGGAAGTCATCTGCGAAAAATTCTTCAAAATACTCTTCGGATCGATACTCCATTTCTGGCTAATTCCTAGAAACTAAATTGAGGGCCTATAGAACAAATTTAATTATTATTATTATTGCTGTTGTTATTCATACAATAACGATTTGAAAAATGCAAGATACCGATTCACATTTTAACTAAACTAAACTTGTAGATGATAGAAATCGAAAACTTGATCAACTTAATCAATTAATTATTTTTACGAATTGACACAAATTTTTGCGACCACGTGTAACAACGTTCCTTAACTTATTAATTATACAAACTCGTCTTGATATTCAATGTGAATCCACGTTATTATTTTATTCCCAATGGGGAATGTGCCGTCACATTAATTACCGATAAATTCATGTCTATGATTTCTGTATTTGAATGTCACTGTGGAAATTTCAGTTTAATCGTCAACACGTGGTAGGATAATTAATTCGTTTTATTCTATCTGAATTGGATTTTATGCGTGCTGGGTTTCATCGTCATTGTTCTCGTATATTTCATTCAATCAAATAATCAAATTATAAGATTCGCGGGTTTGACATATCATTAGAGTTATTAGCAATGTAGTACAAATTAGTGTTTAATAATCTGATAACTAGTAAATGAAGAATATCAACTGAGTATAAACGAAACAATCGATCCCGATTCGTAATTATGAAAATAAAAGAGCTAAATTTGATAATACATAATAATGCGCATGCGATCTAGCTTGAACTTTATCACTGAAGATCACGCGATAAATTTCTTTCGTTAAATTTAGAACGTTATGATTAAACCATAAAAATGCACATAATATCCAAATAAAGAAAAATATTAATTATGTGTAGAAAAATCACATTTCTTTAATTATGTTCATGAAAATTTGACTGCTAATGACCTCGTATGACGTACTTTTTATTTAAGATCGTAAGCATTAAATGGGACTTCTGCTATTGTTATAATTTTAATCAGGAACTCTATAGTCTATTCGATTACAAAAATTCAATAGAGAATATTAGAGTGACGATGTAAAACTCACTTTAGAATGTAAAACACAATCCCAACTTTTTTAGCAAGTTATGTGAAAGAAATTAGAGCTTGTCTGTATAGTTAGTACAATTGTGTCACAAATCAGGGAATTTCACGCG